GGATCTGAGGGGAAATGGGGGCTCTGAGGGGGAATGGCTGAGGGATAACGGGGATCTGAGCGGAAACGGGAGCTCCGAAGGGTAATGGCGTCTGAGGGGCAACGGGGATCTGAGGGGAAACGGGAGCTCTGAGGGAGAATGGCGTTTGAGTGCGAACGGGGATCTGAGGGGAAACGGGGGCTCTGAGGGGGAATCGCTGAGGGATAACGGGGATCTGAGGGGAGACGGAAGCTCTGAGGGGGAATGGCGTCTGAGGGAGAACGAATCTGAGGAGGTAATGGTGGCTGAGGGAAACGGAGGATCTGAGGCCGATGGAACAGGGGTTGATGGCAGGCCTGGGGAGCTGGGAAATAAGGAGATAAAAATGGGGAGGTGATGGGATCTAGATGGTTATAATGGTGGAGATAATCGAATTTTGGGGAAGGGGATTGGGATGGGAGGGATAGAGGTTGGAAGGGGAGTAATGACGGGCCGAGAGGGAGTGGTGAGGGATAAGGGTGGCCTGAAGCAGGACTCGGGATAAGGGCTGCCAGTAGAGGCCACAGCACTTGGAGTGATGGTTTGCAGGGGAAGCAGTGCCCTCTTTGCTTCCCCCTCCTTGGGTGGCCCAACATTCCTCACGCAGAGCCTGCTCTCAACATCCCCCTTTTCCCTTCCCCAGGATGGGAATCCATGGCTTGGCCAAGCTTATTGCCGACGTGGCTCCCGGGGCCATCCGGGAGAACGACATCAAGTCCTACTTCGGCCGGAAAGTGGCCATCGACGCCTCCATGAGCATCTACCAGTTCCTGATCGCCGTGCGGCAGGGAGCCGACGTGCTCCAGAACGAGGACGGGGAGACCACCAGCCACCTGATGGGAATGTTCTACCGCACCATCCGCATGGTGGAGAATGGCATCAAGCCCGTGTACGTGTTCGACGGGAAGCCCCCGCAGCTGAAATCCGGGGAGCTGGCCAAGCGCACGGAACGCCGCGCCGAGGCGGAGAAGCACCTGCAGGAAGCGCAGGAGGCCGGGGAGGAGGAGAACATCGAGAAGTACAGCAAGAGGCTGGTCAAGGTGACCCCGCAGCACACGCAGGAGTGCAAGAAGCTGCTGGCGCTGATGGGAATTCCCTACGTGGAGGCCCCCGGCGAGGCAGAGGCCAGCTGCGCCGCCCTGGTGAAGGCCGGCAAGGTGTACGCCGCCGCCACGGAGGACATGGATTGCCTCACCTTCGGCAGCCCCGTGCTGATGCGGCACCTCACGGCCAGCGAGACCAAGAAGCTGCCCATCCAGGAGTTCCACCTGAACCGGATCCTGCAGGACCTGCAGCTGACCTGGGAGCAGTTTGTGGACCTGTGCATCCTGCTGGGCTGCGACTACTGCGGCAGCATCCGCGGCATCGGGCCGAAGCGCGCTGTGGAGCTCATCCGGGAGCACAAATCCATCGAGAGGATCGTGCAGCAGCTCGACACCAAGAAGTACCCCCTGCCCGAGAACTGGCTGCACAAGGAGGCGCAGAAGCTCTTCCTGGAGCCCGACGTGATCGATCCCGAGGCCGTGGAGCTGAAGTGGAGCGAGCCGGACGAGGAGCAGCTGGTGCAGTTCATGTGCGGGGAGAAGCAGTTCAACGAGGAGCGCATCCGCAACGGCATCAAGAGGCTGAGCAAGAGCCGCCAGGGGAGCACCCAGGGCCGGCTCGACGACTTCTTCAAGGTCACCGGCTCCATCACCTCGGCCAAGCGCAAGGAGCCGGAGCCCAAGGGAGGGGCCAAGAAGAAAGCCAAGAGCAACTCCAAGCCCAACGGCACCCCGGCCACAAAGACTAAAAAGGCAAAATAATCACATTGGGCGCACACAGACCTCTGGGACTGGGTTTTTGGAGGGCTTAATGAGGAATTTTAGAGTAATGGCAGTTGTGTGTCAGTGCTGCGTGTTAGTGCTGGGAAGGGATGGGTGAGGCCGGCAGAGTGGAACGGCTTCTGGGCACAAACACTCCCAGATTTCAGAATTCCAAAGCTGCACAGCTCCAGAGCAGACCCAGGAGAAGTTAGATTTCAGCCTGATCCCATCCATCCCAGAAAAGGTAGATGCAAGCAGAAACTTGCTTGAGTGATAGGAGTGGAAGGCAAGCTGGAATTGGGAAGGAGGCTTCAAGCAATGAGGTAAAATTCTCCCTTTAAAGAGAATTCATTAAGGTTTTTCCTTCCCTTTTCATGGTCACTCTCCTTATTCAAAACCCAGTTGTGATCTCAATTCCAGCAAGGTCCTGGCCCTCTTTTAGTGCATAATCCAGGGAAAGCTGAGCCCAGACTGCAGCTCTCCCAGCCTGAAATTCGCTTAGAAATGCTTAAAAATAAAAATATCCATAAGCCTAGAACTGCAGCCTCTTAGTCCCTGAATTCCAGAGGCATTTTTCCATGTTGTACACACTTACAGGTCCCCGGATTGGAATTAAAACCTTTTATTTCTTATTTTATTCTGTATTTTCTGTAGTGTTTTGCTTGTCAGAGCCATGGGATGGGTTTTTTTTCCAGAATAAAATTTGAACTCAAAGACACTGTTTCTCTTTCTCCAGAGAAGTGGCTTAAACCGTGTTTTTAAATGAAAATCCCAGTTTTAGAGGGAATTCTGTAACAGCCGAAAAACCATTCGGATTCTGGAACACAAAGATTTCCAGTTTGAGCTCTCTGGATGCTTCATAGACATCAAAATCCGTGAGTCTGCTCTTTGCCAGTTTGGACAATAAGAAGCTGGCTTGTTTTGTGGGGAAATTAATCTTTAATATTTATTATGCATTATCTTACTAAAATTGGGATTTATGTTTCCTTGCTGTGGATTCTCTTACATGTTTCAATCTACAATTGTTTTTTTTCCAGAAGTTTTTAAATTAAGTATTTCTCTTTTATTTCCAGATATTTTCATAGGTACAGTAATGGTTTTGTGGTGGAGGGATAAAAAATTACTTTAAAATAATAATATCTGGAAATAAGTCTGGGAAATTTACCAATTCTAAAAGCTGCTTTTCCACCACCCACTCTCTACACTCTCTGGTGTTTCGTGGTATTTCACTCCTCCTCCATTTCTCATTCCAAACAAAGATTCCCACTGCTTCTGGCACTGACATTGTTATTAATGAATTCCAGTTCCACTCTGTGCTGTGGGAAGCCAGGGACCCAGCAGAGCCAGTCAGAGAGGGCACGGGGGATTTGGGGCTCTCAGGTGTGGGCAGTCTCCCCGTGGGAAGACTGGAATATTTTCCACCTTTCCCCCTCTTCCACCTCTTAGTTCTAATTAAATGAATTTTCAACTTCTTCATCCCAGTTTTCCAGCTGGCTGTACCATGCCCCATGTGTTACCCACAGCATTCCCACCCTCAAGCCAAGCCCAGTATGTGCCAGCTCCTGGGAAGAAAGGAGCCCTGTCCCAGTAGAAAGCAGAGCAGTGGGAACTCCCAGACAGCTTTTTGGGAAACCCTGAGTTTATCCAGCAGGAAGAACGCTACAGAGTGTGCCAGCTGGTGCCACGAGCTGCATCCTGGATCCGTGACAGCCATCTCCTGAGAACTCCCTTGCGTTTCCATTCCCGCTGGAGCCTCTTGTGCAGCACTGCCCGCAGGGTTCTCTGCTGGGGCGCTGCTGCACCCTGGGAGCCGTGCATCGGGCACCGGCGGCTCAGGGACACTTGCTGCTGGGAATGCTTTGCTGGAATGGCTCGGGCTCCCAGTTGTATTTCCCGTCTTTTCCTGGCTGTGGGTATCTGGTGAGTTCTGTCGATAGCCACGGCTCCGAAGCAGCAGGGAGACCTGTCCATGTGGGCTCCTCCATCTGGGGTCCAGCGGATCTCATGGTGGCTCTGGCAGGGATGGAGACCTTTGCTATAAACATCCCAGGTGGGAAGATCTTCCTTAGCCTCGTCCTCCGCAGCCAGCTCCAGGGACCTGTGGAGGTCCTGTTCCTGACACGAGAGCAGCTGCCTTTGCTGCCGGAGCCTCTTGTCCAGCAGCATGCGGAGCGTCTGCCCCGATGGCTCCGCCGCAGGATCCTGGCAGCCATGGATTGGGCACCGGCGGCTCCAGGACACTTCCACTTGCTGCTTGGCAGGAACAGGCCAGGTTCCAGTTGGAGCACAACCCAGGTCACAGAGGGTCTGCATGGAAATGGAGGAGCCTTTCCGAGGGATGGACATTCTTGGAATGGAGGAGGATCTCAGCCAGCGTCGGGTTCTGCGGAGGACTGAGCCTTTTCCAGCGGCAGATGTTTTCCTGCAGATCTGGGCTCTTGTTGGGCTCCTGGACGGCTGGGGGCTCTCAGAGGAGCTGGAGGAGCTGCAGGAGCTGCAGGAGGCGCAGCAGGGCAGGCGGCCTTGCTCCAGCAGCTGCTCCAGATCCTCCCACGACAGCTGCCACATCTCCGCGTCCCGCGGGAAGGACACCTCGGGCCACAGCGGCGTCACCAGGTCCTGCAGCTCCCGCGCCGCTGTCGCGCAGGGGGTGCAGCAGGGGCCGCAGCCGCAGGGGATGTACAGGGGGCTCTGCGGGGCAGCCGGGCCGTGCGCAGGGGGCTCCTCAGCCCGGGGGGCACCGGGAGCCCCCGGGGCCGCTCGGCAGCACCGCGACGCCCCGGCCCGGCTCCCGAGGCGCTTCCGCGCCTTCCAAATGCGGGCGGCCAGCAGGACGGCCGTACTGGCCACCAGCAGGACGAGCGAGGGGAGCAGGAAACTCATGGCTTCATCCGTGTCCCATCGTGGCCGCACTGGGAGCCAGGGGTGGTGGCACGTGTCCTGTAGAGACACCGTGCTGATGTCACAGTGCTGCGGGGGGGACACCTGTGTGACATCACAGCCACGCCTCGCCCCAGCGCTCACAGGGCCCCCCAGGGCTTCCAGGAGCAAAGGGCTCCATGTGGGCAATGGTGGCCCTCTGGAGCAGAACAGATGGAAAGATTCTCAGGCAAGTAGGACACAGTGATGAGGAGGAGGATGATGGTCTCACCTCCTGGCTGACAGAGCTGGGGACATGGATGGGACATGACACCCATGGGACACTGCAGGGTACTGCAGGAGGAAAAGCTCAGTAACCACAAAACATGTCTGTGTTATCCACAGCATTCCCATCCTCAATCCAAGGCCAGGGCTGTGCCACAAACTACAACGAAAATGATCCCTGTGAATCCTACTAAAAGCAAACAACCAAAGCCCTGAGGTGGAGCAGCATAAGTGTTTTCTGTGGAGCGTGTTGGTGATGGAGAACTGCATCAAGATGGGATTTAGCAGGAGAGAGAGGGGCAGGCTGGGTACCCGGGACATGCCTTGCAGCACAGGGCAGGAATGTCATCTCCAGTGGAGCACCTGATATCCTACACCAGCTGTGGCACTGCCACATGGTGCCAGCTTATCTGTGTGGTCACAGAAGGACATGGAGGGTGGCACCAGCACCATGGGTTGAGTCTGACTGGTTTCATGTCTGGGATAAATCCACATGTACTGGAGATGTGGAAGATGGTGGATGCTGGTTCTTGGGCTGTTGGGAAGAATTTGGATCCTGTCCCTCCCAGTTCCTTCTGGAGACAGTGTCTGTGGAACCACAGAATGGTTTGGGTGAGAAGGGTCCAGCTGGGAGCAGGTCCAGGCTGAAGGTCTGGCTGGACAAG